TATCCTTCATTAGTGGGTCGATGATATAGAGAACGATGTGTAAAAGTTTTTAATGACTTCTCATTTCATGATTTAAAAACTAAATGTGATATTTTCGCGCCAAATATTTTAACCTTTTCAATATTTGTACACGGTGTGTAGAAGGCTACAAAGTAGATGGTTTTGTTATAAAACAATTCTAATTGATTTTTTAGATGGTGTCAAAATGATAGTATCAACAAATGTAGTATGATTCCATATTCCATATTCCATATTCCATATTCCATTTTCCATATTCCATATTCCATACTCGAACTTAGTCGAAACCGAAAAGCACATTCTAGATTGAACATGACAACGGGTCTATTGATATTTTTGTATACCAAATGATTTCACGTCCGTTTTGTTTTTGAAAAGTACGCGTCGTTTCCAATTTATCGATTTAACCTTCATGATAAAAAAAAAAAAAATTGACGGCCTGTCATTCGAACGAAGCGGTTACTTAGCCGATTCATTTTTTTTTTTTGCGGGTGGGAAACGCTAATAGAAAATCATAATATACTATTCGGTCTATCGAACGCCACCCCCGCCTCCGCCGTTATGCCTCCCTTGTCATATCCGGTGATTGGGCGGGAAGCCGTCTATACTTATATACATATACATATGTATTTCCCCCCCCCCCTTAAATAATTTATCAGCTAACTTGTCGTAATCGATAGCTCGTCACACGATGTCATGTGAGGTCATAGAGGTCGCCGAAAACAAGGTCAAAAATCGTGACGAGCAATAGTCGCTGACCGACTGTTCGACTATAAAGTATACAGGGTGTCTCACGCTGCTACAAATGTACAAGCAGTTTCTATGAAAAAAGGTTCAAAACACAGCATGAGACACCCTATATAACATCTTAACCTATTAAGTGCAGTATGGTATCCGTGTAATAATAATAATTCATGATAATTTATAATAATAGGCGTGCAAAAACAGGGGTTCAAGGTTTGCAGCCGCACACCCTCGGGGATTTGACTAAGGGTGAGAAGCCCTACCAGTTTACCAAAATAACGTTGTTTTAAAAATTCATAAAATAATAAATTTATTTGCTGGGACTAAGTACCGTTCAAGTGACTTCGGTTGAATGTGTTGTACTAGAGTCTGGTGGGATAGTAGTAAACAAATAAGACAAATTATATAAAAACTAATTTTTAAAAGTAAACAAGTCGATAGTTTTTAGTTTCACTTGGAAGTTTTAAATTATAATATGTTAACATAACACAAATATTATTGGCTTTTTTTATCATTATACATTTGCCCATTTGACTCTATACCCTCTGCTAATATCGATTTAAATTAACAATGTAATAGATGTCTATTTATGCATGAGCTAAAACTTTTATGGATTCAAATATTATGTCTTTATCTTTTGTTAGATATTAAAAAAATAGATTTAGAGTTTCAAATAAGTTTTCAATTCTAATACAAAAAGTTTCATTGTTATTATTATTAATTTAAACAGTTATGTTTTTTTATTATTAAAAAGTTTGATTAATTTTTATTATTTTATAGTTTAAAGAAACATAGTATTTTCATTCGATTATTTTATATTCAGTGTAATAACATGAAAACAAATTTACTCGAGGAATATATAAATCAAGAAGCTACCTCAAAAATGTACACGGTTTTAATAAAATCTGTATAATTTAAAATTTATACATTAATTATATTCTGTTAACATCAATCAAGTACGTAACTGTTCAATCTTAATCACACATCCAAGATCCTTAAAACATTTCTATCGTCCCAAGCGAAAAAGGAATTATATTTTATATTGCTTTGTTTTGTAAAAGTCTAGAGCTTAATGGTTAATTAAAGAAACTATTTTCCTAACGATTTCAGGATTACTATTTTCTTACATTTCGTCTAATATTAATTTTATATTTAAAATTAATCAACGGACATGGATTCCAATTATGTTTCTAAACACTAACTATAGCTTCGCATCAAGTCGAGAAGGGTTTTTTTTAAGAGGTTTTATGTTTTTTTTACATTTTAATTTAAAATTATAAGTTTGGTATTAACCAGGAATCGCTCACAAGACTCTAACCTAACCGCGTCTTTATTTGCTGTGTTCTTTTTTATTCGTTCTCGATATGGATTTTTTGTTAATTCAGTTTCAATTTAGGTCGGTTTGCGTGTGTTTCTGAAGTCACCAAAATGTATGTTTAGGGATAGTTCGATACGCCGGAGTCGTTGCGTCGCCTGTCATTTCGTTTTCGCGAAGAATCGATTCGATTTTATGGGAAATAATTAATTGAACGACAGTCCAATCGGTTTTCGAGGTCATTGAATCAACCTGCTCCATCAATCAGTCTTTCAAATTACAAAGCTCAAAATTTCGCAAAACGGTTTCCGACATGACCAGCTTATAAGTAATACAAGTTGTGGTATAGTATAATTAATAATAATCATGTAAAATTGTCTAATTCATCTTGGTGCACTGAACGGCGATTATTGCCGTTAATGTATTTCAAAAGTTTAATAATAATATTATAACAATATTATGTACCAGCATTGCTTAAAACCAATAAAATACCTATATTTTATAATTATATGTATAGTTTTGATTCTGCAATCTGTATACACTTTTATAATTGTTAATATACAATAGGTAGTTCAACATTTGTTGGCAACAGTATAGATTTCTAAAAATATTTCCGGTCATTCACTTGTACATTCATAAAGTTCTATTAGATCTTCGAATGAATCATTATTGCCGTCAGGGACAACTGGCGTGACAAGGCTATTAATGTATGGATACTACCTTGCGTTATTATATAATTTGGTTGGTCGTTAGCTATAAAGGTAAATTTATTGTTACTAAAATTTGAGGTTAGGTATCCGAAATTTTGTCCTATATACCTACCAAAAACAAAGTGGATTTAAGTTATACTCAAAATGAATAGAATACAATTCGTTGACAATTTACTAAAACAAAATTAAAATGGTAATGTATTGTAATATTAAACATGTTTAATATTATTAATAAAATTATAACTTAGAGTGAGTGGTTATAATTTAGGTCCTCATCAACACATTGTGTGTGACTAGGTTGGTTCTTACGGTAATTTTCACTACAGTCAAAAAAAATATTCAGCAACTTATATGACTATTTAAAATGCATTCTCTATATTAGTGAAGTGTGGAGAGGTAAGATTTAGTTGACCTACACCGTTGGAATTGGATTAAGTGAAGAAGTACATATGTTGTAACGTTTGTATATTATTTGTATTGTATTAAACAATAAATATTTAACTTACTTTTATTACATAATGCTCACATAATGCTACATTCATTTTGTTAATCATTTTTTCAAATTAATTTAGTGTTAATAAAAGGTACTTTTTGAGACAAAAATGTAAAAAGTTTACCCCTTTCCCTCCAAAATTAATAAAACACTAAAAAAAAATGGCATTATTCTTTAAGTAAGCAACACTCGACACTCGTTTCTGTTTTGATAGATAGCTAGACTAATACTGATCTCCAAACCCCACCTCGGAGGCTGTTATATTACGTATAAATATTGATATACGTGATTTTAAAAGTAAAGTAAATAAAATAAAATTGTCTTTATAAATATTTGTCTCTATAAATATTTCGTTATTGATACTTGTGTTTAAATGTCTAAACCCATTTGAATACAAGGCCACTCTCATTGAGTAGGATAAGCAAAGATATTATAATATTGTCATTCATAAGTATCATATATCATATCACAACACAATGTCCACTCAAGCGAGTCTTTACTCTATCTATTTGCATTCTAGAAATAGTTCTACTTAAGGGGCCTTTACACCTGCGTATATGGTCGAAAACAACTCATTCTAATTTAAACGTACTGTTTCTAAGAATACTCTGATTTAAGTTTTGAAAAAATATCTGAGTTATTCAAAGCATCGGTTGTGGCACAATTTTTTAATTATTTTTCAGTTCATGAATTATTTCAGTTGAAAAATGTTAAAAATTGCATTTTTTTATATTGAAATAATTAATTAACTGAAAATAATTTTCAAATTGTGTCACAACTGATACCTTGAAAATATTGTGAAGAATTGAAATGTTTTTTAAAAACTTAAATCGATGTATTCTTAAGGACAGTACGATCGAAGTAGAAACATGTGTTTTTTTACAAAAATAGATCCTATACGCGTTATAAAAGTTGAAAAAAAATTGTAAAAATAACTTTAAAAGTTTTGGCGAAAAATTGCCTATACAATGTGCCTAAATAAGTGCTAGTGTAGAGGCCCCTTAATAACTATATTAGTAATACATATAATACAATATTTAGATTAATTAAGGAGTATTAAGATTTACAAAATTATTATTTTTCCTATCTTTTGCGATAGAAATGTTTAATTGTTTATATTTTACATTTTCAAAAGTATTAATATTAATAGTATTTCCTAAAAATTCTCCAAAACAATATGCCATTTTAAAAATTAAATTACATTTTTGCTATCATTTAAACTATACTGGTTTTTGAAAAAAAATATTTAACAAAAGCCAGCATAGTGGAAATGGAACAAATCCACGCTTATTCTCGGTAGATCTCCGGTTTACGTTGGTAGACTATCGACTTTTTGATTCGATTAAATAGACCAGAAATGTGCGATGAATTATAGAACAAAACGGTAACAAAATAACAAACTTGGTTTGATTAATAACTTAATACTACAGAAACTTATCGACGCGTAATTTCTCAGTTTTGAGTCAATGACTAAACACAAATTAAATAAATACACTGTTTTCAAAGTACAATTGAACACAATGAAAAGTACTTGACTCTTCGACAGGTGTGACACGTTTTTTTTTTTATACTTGGCAGACTGTTCAACCGAACTTATTGAAAGGTCTTATTCGTAGAACATTATACCTACCGGCGATTAGTCGATACCCCGAAACCGCGTAAGTTTTGAAATTTCGGAGAAAACTTTATTTTTTAACTTTTAAATTACAAACATTAAATCATGGCTACACTGGTCGAACGCATAAGGCCGACAGTTTTGTTCTGTCGATTGTTTGGAATGGGATTTCAACGCGAAGACTCGGAAATGGCATTTTTGGAGTACTGGATTTTACTTGCTTTTAACTTGACGTTAATCAGTTACACTGTATTCACTGACATCTTTCAAGACCTACACATTATGAAAAATCTGATGGATGTCATGTCGTTCATGACTGTTATCCGTTACTTCACGAGGACCTTTGTTCCGGTAGTAGCGATATGCTCGATATTATTCACTAGAAATATTATAATTAAAACAGTGCAAACACTGGACGACCTCATACCGTCCGTTAAACGTACTCCGTTGTCGTTTTATTCGTGGTACTTCTATGGCTGGTTGACGTTGAGCCTCGCAACCGACTATTTGCAGTTCTTTACATTTTGGATATCGGCAAATTTCGGAATATACTCAGTGCGCACTTTGTTTCACCTAACGTTCTATAATATTTGGATATCCGTACCCGTCGCTCAATACGTGGTTCTGATTATGATGATTCAAAACGGTATCCGTGGAATGAACGACGACATCACATCGATATCAAAGTGGAAATCGTACCGTACAAGATGGAAGATGCTGAAAGACTTGGCCGAATACCTTACCAATTACGTATTCGCCGCGTTCATCATCGTCTATGTATTGTTCAGCATGTGTGAAACATTTTTTTTCGCATTTGTCTCGTTTTTAGCTTTTAGAGAAAGCGAGAAATACCGTACAAGTGCTTGGCTGATAACGGCCTTGATGCGAGCAAGGTTCGTCGTACACCTATTCCAGATTTGTCAAAACTGCAAAAAAGAGGTAACGTTTCCGGTCTTTGTGACATAGGAACAATAACACAAACATAATAATTGATTTTAGTACACCAGTACACCAGTAATTTATTATGCAATAGACTTTTTGTCAATATTCGTGCTATTATAGCTAATATACCAGGGGTCCGTTAACCGTGTGTTACATTCAGAAATTCGTTCACGAAGATTAAAAGTCATTAGGAATATAAAATATTTGTTCATTGAAAGCTTGCACGTACAACGTTCTATGGGGTGATCCAGTGGCATAATTACAAAGGGTGATATATTAACCCCCAGAGGCCTAATTTGTATAAATATATTATTAATAATCTATTTGTTAAATACAAAACTCTATTTATTAACGTAGAAGTATTGGACATAATGTCATAAAAAAATAACATTTCATTATAATATTTTGTAAAGTACCTATTATATTTTAATAATAAAATATAGCAATGACATTGTATTAAATGTTTTTTTCATCTAACGAACACATTTTTTGAAAAACTTGATAATCAAACTATTAAAAATTGATATAAAATACATTTTGTCCAGTTGAATCTTAAAAAGAACAAACTGTTACCAGTTAAACAAACTTTTATGCTTAAGACGATTGAAATCGGGCGGTTTTTAAGGAGTCTCTAATGTCTTAGGTTACGTTCTGTTCATTATTAACTAGTGAACTGAACGTATTAATTTTAACTGTCCATGTTCGTAACGTTACTGAACTATAAAATATGTATAATATACAAAATATCATGTACCAAATGGTCTTTAGTTCAGCATTTGATCATTTTTAAATACTAAAAATTTTTTCTAATAAAAAAAAAAAATGTATTCTCGATAAACCAAATTAATAAAAAATAATTATTTAATAAAGCTACAAAATACAATTGTATCATATATGATATTAGTTTTCGATGATATAAAACAATGTTTTAATAGAGGCTTGTATAATTAATGTTGAGTAACGATATAAATATAAATAAAGCAGCTTTTTTTTTGTGTTATGAATTCAAGTATAATTATTGAATTGTTGTGGGAATAACCGTTGCAGTATTTGTACGTTATGGGTCATGGATTTATAGGAAAATAATATTTTTACATTTAACTAGGTGTATTTTAATTTTGTAACTTCTATTTCATCATTGTTTATTAATAATTATTGTGTTTATCATCGATGCTATTATTATTACTAATGTATTATAATACATTCATAAATGTCTATAGATTATGAATATTCAAAATATCCTAAATGGTGTCAAGACAAAAGGAAAATCAGACGTTAAAGTAGTAATAATATCCTTGTTTAATTTATATTTTTATTCAGTAGAGTGTTCTACCACCTGCCACTTCCACTCTTATCAAACAGCATCACTCTTATCAGTGACATTATGACTCTGACGTCATGTTACTAATAAGAGTAGTTTTGTGTGATAAGAGTGGAGATAACAAGTGGTGCTAAGGCCAAAAAACTCTACTACACTCTATCATTGATTAAATACACAAAGATAGCCCAAGCCGTGTTAAAAGCTAGCCGCTCATAAATAGGAGCCGAACCATAGAGAGCGCTAAATCTGTAGTTCATTCGATCGAAAATGGTGCTCTGACACACGAAATACCGGTTCATAACTGGGCGATAATGGTCTTTATATATTTTGTCAATTATTTATAATAAGTAATTTTTGTTTAACTTAACTACGGTATAATTAAAAGGGGAAAATGAAACTAAATGTCTTAGCTTTTGTTTTATTTTATTGTACCTATTCGTATTTTGTTTCCGTGCCTATTTATTTTTTAAGATTTCCTTCTCATCGTCTAAATAGATCCATTAAACTGGTAACTTTTTAAAATAGTGATATTCGCAGTAAATACCTATAATACTGTTAAATACTGTTAATATTTATAATAGTTTTATTGAACTAACTATTATTCTAAATTTTGTTTGTAATAAGAAAATGAATGAGCTAAAACTAATGAAGCTTTTGACATACAATACAATTTAATTCTAAAAAGAAAAATATCTGAAATAATCTTATGGATAAGAATTATCTATAAATCTTTTATATTTTGTAAAAGAATAATAATTGTATGAAATTCATATAATAAAATAATCTCATACCTATAGCCAAAAACCGGTTTTACTTTGCGCGCGACGGGTGGTCGTGGCATAATAGAAAATATTAAATTGTAATATTGTGCGACATCTATGAATAGAATAGATAGAAATGAAACACTAAATAACGTGTTTCCCTATTTTCTATTGACATGAGCTATCTATGTATACTTAATCAATGACTCTATATTGTAAGTACAACTTAATTAATACGATTATCAATGTTTTTTTTAGGTACAATATGCTTCACTATACATGTTACATACAGACTTTAAGCTCATGCCGTATGCTATTTTTGAGTTGTCAACTCGAAACTTACTACCTGTAAGTAATTATATTTTTTAATAATATCACAATGCAATCATAAGTTGAAAGTTATTTTTCTAATATTTTAGATGTTCACTGTGGTAATTGTTTTCTTGTTATTTCAAATTCAAATGAAACTGTTCGGCAATAAAAACAATAACCTAACAATTAAAATGCTTGACAAAAAAATGTGACGAAGTCCCGTCTCATTATAGTTATAGCGAGTTAAATTTATAAATAAACAAAAAATAATAATTTTAATTTTGTCTACAAATATTCGTGTATTTTACTACTTGTACGATCCTTGTGCCTATTTTTAATCAAGAAAAAAAGAAAAATTACAAATTGACTATAATTAGTTTTTAGGTTTCTATGTGTGAATGAATAAACAGTCAACCACTGACTGAAAAACATTTTCATCATTATACATTAATTATGGATAACAATGGCAACATATAATTAATTAACACGATATAAACGTTAAGTATGAACCCTTACTAAGACATTGATTACCTTTTATCGAACGAGCAACAATTTATTAAATAGATACTAGGTAAGTGCTAATATTTTCCACACAATAATATATAGTCTGATCAGAAAAAGTTTTGGTATGTATTGCGTGATTCATTTTCATTTTATTTCAAATTGTATCATACATTTTTAGTCGTCTACATGTCATATTATAATAATCTTATGTTTTATGCAATACAGTGGAAAATTAATATAAATTTCATATTCAAAAGTGATTACATCAAGTTAAAACTTAAGGTAAATATTGTACAATGTACAGCATAATAAGTACATAGCTAATTAGCATAAGTAAACACATTTAGATAGTGTTAAACTAAATAACTTAAGTTTATTATTATTATTCACGTATTTATTCTATTACTAATTATAACTCATTTATTCTCTTTTGAGCCAGAAAAAATTAGTCTCAATCTTAGATAATACTATTTTGAGCTGTAACTATATTTACTGGTAAAAAATTAGTAATTAACCAAAGCTTCAGCGACGAGACAAACTGCCAGGCATGCTGTTAGGGTAAGAGCTTTAATTGCGACCATAAACTTTTAATACCTACGAAGAATACATGAATGTTCATATTGCATCGCATAACTTACTACATTGTACGATACTACTTAAAAGCTCCTAACGATAACAAGTATTATTTACTATAATTAATGATACATATAGAGTTCATCAATTCCTATGAGGATGCAGCGAAGACAGAGTGCTTTACATTGACTGCTTAAGCGGTTTTCGATTTTGATAACTCATCAAACAGCGGTCGACCAAATTAAATTGTTTATTATTACATTATGAATAATAGAAATACAAAAATCTCTAAAATAGTTAACGCATAAACTAGTATTCCTACTGTGGAATATTCATTTTAGCTATGTGGAAAACGCATGGTGTGTTATTTCGTATAAATAATTTAAGGACTACTCAAGCGATAGGCGTGATACAGAAACAAGAAGGAAGCGAACCCTTAAGTTTAACTATTTATAATACTTAGAACCCCTACAATTGTGTAGTTTCAAAAATATACCACATATTTTTTGTATACCACATTAGTATGCTGTATGTGTTCGTAAAAAAAAAGCTTTGCACGCTCTACAGTTACATTTTACCAGGATACGAGTGTTACACGCAAAAAAGCTAGCACAATGGAATCATATTGGGGTTAAGAAGATCACATGTCTTCAGAAATAATTATGACTGAAAATTATAAAATCACTTTTAAAAAAATATTTTAATGTAAAACTATGTAAATAAAATGGTATTGTACGTATATTATAAACTTTTTAAGTTGAGAATAATCTACTGGACATTTTAACCGGGGGTCGATTAGAAAATATGGTAAACAACAAAATATTAAATTAAAAATACTGCAAATTTCTATTATTTTTATTAATAATATATAATATTTTTAGCGTATTTTTTCAATTTTATTTTAGCCCCCAGCCGACATGGGTAGTAACATGTTTATCTCTTTAAACATTGTGTCAAAATTAAATAAAGAAAACGTTATGTACCCTGACGTTTCTTGAATAATAGGTTTTTTCTTGTTATTGATTTTATACATCAGATAAAGAGATGTATACAGCTTTCAAAAGTCAATCAAGATCCGAACGGATAAGTTATAAAAAATAACAATATTTGTTTGTACTACCAAATTCGAAATAAATACTTTTTCGTTATTAAAATTTGTATTTAAAACGTTCTTGTACTCTATTGTATTATATTTTTTTGACTTGTGTTTACTGTTTACTATATTTAACTGAAAATTTCTTTTATTGTTGTTATTTTTGTTTTCGACCTACAAACGATACGCGACCGGCTTTGTACTTTTTAGATGGAATAATGAGTTCATAACCGAACGGCCCGAGCGAATCCTTATAGATGCAGGGTTGAGGGTGGCCGGGAAAGGAAAAAGAAAATGCCGAGAAAAGCATTAGCTCGTAAAATGATGTCGGGGAAGTGCCGGGCAATCCCCGTGGAAAGCTTGGTCGTTATAATATATACGCTGGCTGCCTTGCCCGAAACAACCGCAATTAATACGCGATCAAGTACTACACACAGCCCCAGAAGTTATAACTGCTGCACCAGTACTTATACTATACAGTGTTTACTGTACACTAACAACACTTTGAATTGATCCGCAACGGACATGATAAATCGTCATTCGACCAAACCCTCGCGCAATTGTTTTCTAATAATACTTACACGGGGCCGCTGTGCGATCGGAGAAGAGTGGTTTTGGCAGAGACTGGCTAGCGGAAAGTGCTGTGTGGAAGAAAACGAAATCCGAGGTGAACGATTTTGAATAATAACGCTGAAATCGTCGATGGTCGGTGTGTGCGAGGGCCAATAAATCTCAGACCGGCCACGCTGATTTTAGACAATATCGTACTTGATGAATGGTCAAGGTTCGCTTGCTCGTCTGTGCGTGTGCGAAAAATTGATTAAAGTTTCCGCCGTGAAACTTGCGGCACGTAACGAGACGAGGCTGAACAGAGGGAAAATAATTTTGATGGTGCTAATAAAAAAATAAATAATTATGACGATGATGATAATAATGATAATAACTGTCCCGCTCTGTTGCACATTCGGTTCGCGTAACTTGAATGTGCGGCTATACAGTGTACTACAAGGAAACCCTGGATTTTCGCATGACTAGAGTAATTTGTTGTTTCGCGTTGGGGTTTTTATGATATAACATACAAAAAAGCCTTTATCATGCCAAAACCGGGGGCGGCCACCGGGAAGTAACGAAGGGACCAAAGTAATTATTTAATCGTACGTTTACGATTAGTGCGGTTATAGTGTAACAACCGTAAGCGAGCAGCCGGGGTAGGTAGATGCATACTTTGTAGTTTCAAAAAGAGCCCAAGTTTTCCAGGAGGGCTTGTTTTTTTTTTAATACTATGTTAAAATATAAAATCTGTATCATAGTCTACCACTTTTTCTTTTTTTCGGTATAGTTCAAATATTTGTCGTCAGTGGACCCAACTTAATCGGTTGCATACTCTGCGATTTAAGTCTGAGTTCGATTATTATTATCATAACATAATGTTGTATTATATTTTAACGATTTAACAGTGCACAATTGTCAAAATATTGAACTTTCTCCACTTCTAACGATACAATATGGAGAGTTGGTACTTGAGAGTATAGCTTTTCGCTTTGCACTAGCTTGTCATATTCCACAATTTATAATAAAACATAATATATATAATAAATAAATGGTTCAACGCTACACTGGACTAACACTAAAAATATTGTTCCCTTAATAAATCTTATTGAGCGTGCCGGCGAAGTCCTTAAACGGAAAATTAATTATTTTTATGATATTAATTTAACAAGAAAAGCGTGGGCCCTATTCAACAAAGTCCAAATTTATTGAGTTAAGTATTATGAAATATATGTCACATACTAAAATTGAACCAAATTTAAATTACAAAAAACTTGTCTTATATAAAACATAATCTGATAAATTTATTAGGGACTATCTTTCTTTTCTCGTTCCATGAATACATGGGTAGCACTTGTGTATTGATTTCAGACACGGTGTCGTAAAATATATAAATCAACAGGGTTGTAAATTTTGGTGTAAAACGCTAGTTAAAAGTTTCCCACGAAACCATCTGCATAATTTAATAATCGTTTTTTAATGTTAGTTTACTGTTATTATTATAATTTTTGTTTTTGTTTTCGGAGGTAAGACTACATAGTTTTATCCACTAGTTGGACTGATTGCTTTAATTAACATTTTAAACAATACACATACAGACTGGTAATAAGGGTTATTACTAATGACCCTAAAAAGTTAGATCAATCTTTTTTTTAGTTTTAATTCTAATACGATATTAATTCCCCAAAATTATAATTGAAATAATTTTAATTTTGTTTGATATATATATAATATTTATAAGATTATCGCCTTTAAAAGTTGGACACATTTTTAAATGCATTTTTTTATTGGAGAAAAATACATACACATTCTTATAAACTATTTATACATTTTTTTTTTTAAGGCAATATTAAATATGCAGTCTTACATATTTGTATACCACAACATTTTAAGAGACACGAAATCATGAAATAATTTTAGTACACTAACAATTTGACTTTATTTTTTGAAATATTCACATGGTTTTAGTTATACCTATATTAACATATTGGCTTTGCTTACATTTTAGGAAGGCTTTCATCTTCCATCTTTTGACCTGTGTTACGTACTTGTTACATGTTTTTCGCTACGCTGCTGTCTGTAGACTGAAGCAATTGCCTCTATAGTAGTAGTTTATATATGCCGGAGCCGTTATACCCCCACTATTATTTTATTGCTTCCGCCTTTTTGTTTGTCATTCATCGCCGCTGGTTCTGCCGTGGAAAAGTGGAGAAAAGTATTATTTCTATCTGCCCTAATGTAACCACACTACACCTTCCATCCTAAATATTTAAATTATATAAATTTAAAAGTAATTAAAAATATATATACGTTCCCATTAAAGTTTTAAAAGTTGATAGCGTTTTGGAAAATTCAAAAAAAGGTAAATATCTGGTAATTTTATAATATTGTACCTACAATAAGATAATAGAAATATATATTTATATTTTTAAGTTGTAAAGTAAAAGCACTTTTCTGTAAACATTAATAGCATTTTCTTCTCACGATAAACAAGTAGAACTGATTACTGAATTTTAATTTACAGTGAAAATAAATCATAGTATAATTACTGGTAAAAATA